TTAGGGTTAGGGTTTAAGGTTTTCTCCCAAAAACAGGGTGCTCCTATTGGGTATATGTAGGGTTCCAATAAAAGGGGGTATTGATTAGGATTTCACCGAGGTTCGTTGGGCTTATATAAGGATTCAGGATTATTGGTTCTAGGGATTTAGGGTGTAGGATTTTTCGAGTCAGAGTTATAGATAGACACAAACTGGGTTGTCAAAATCATGGACCTTGTTAGGTCCATGGCATAATGTGTCCCCCAGGATTGTTTGTTAAGAATATCATTGCTTTGACCAGCCTCCACATGGTGGTTAGGAGTGTAGGGTTTGCAGTGCAAGAGAAGCCTCTCAGGAACCCGGGTTCTGAAGGAGAGGTCTAGGTATTTTAGGGGATTCAGGCAGTTATGGGGTTGGAGATTTAGGGGCTTCGGGATTTGGCTGGTTTAGGGCCTTGGGGGTGCAGAGGGCTGCGGTTGGTCAGGATTTAGAGTTCAAGTTCAGGCTTTAGGAAGCGGCACAGGGAGTATGTGGAGACCACGTTGGGAAAGGTTTGCGTTCGGGTGCAGGGTGCATGTTGCACCTCACTTGCTCGAAGGCCCTGATGTCCTGCAAGAGATTTCTGGGTGATGATTCCGCAGCAGGGCCCTAAGAAGGCTACAAACCTTTTTAGACGGGGCTATGTGGTGTTTCCATGTTAGTTCGAGGTTGGGATTCACTGGAACTTCCACATGAGGCCCCAGCTCCCTACTCACCACTAGTCCTCCGTTCTATATGGGCATCATGTTGGGAATGCTCCTTATTGGGAGGATGTGGGGTGTTACGATAAGGGATGGATGCAAATACCTTGGATAGACGAAATCCTTCACGACCTACATACCCATTAGTACAGTGCACTTGGGGTTGTGCAAGATTTCCTCCATCATCCGCACAATCCAGGTCACCAGCACGGATGGTTCCGTCACCGGCTATGAAACTTGGGAGATGTTTCAGAACAACTGGCGTTTAGCCTACCCCAAGCAAAACTGGAACTCTAAGTACAGTAGCCCCTTCTTTTGAGTTTGTGCAATTGTACAGCCACCTTTGGCTTCTTGGAGGGCTCGCTGTTATTTTGGAAGGGGGCTGGGTCGGGCTTGGGCCCAGGCTTCAGGGTTTGCCTTTGATTGGGGGCCATGCGAGGGCTTGAGGGCTCACGATCTTGCAGGGCTCTCGAAGAGAGCATTTCTGGAGGCACTGGGTTAAGGGTTCGGCTGGAACTTCCGTGACATCTTGGAGGTAGCGAAATTTTCACACCAAGCGCCAAGCAGCGTCCAATCTAGAGCAATCGCTCAAGCAATTGCTCCTAGTCATCCCAAGTCCTACGTACACTTTGCCGGAGCATGCTCTCAAGGAGGTTTTGCTTGGGTTTCTAGAAGTCAAGCCACGAAATTAAGAGAATCCCAAGGACATTTCTTCAACCTTGGCCCTCAAGCGTTGAGGAACCCATTTCCATTGCCTCCACGGGTCAGTTCTGGGGCGGCCTGCAGTACAATGGAAATCAGGCCGGAACAACAGCCGTGACGCCCTACTTGGACTGTGAAAGTCAGGGGGACCTAGTAGTGATGGAACAGAAATTGGAAACTGTTGTAGTATTCAGGGTTTAGGTCAGGGGGACTTAGTATGATATGTATAACCCCCCAATAGTCCCCCATTGTCGAATTATTCAGTAAGTCCCGCGGACCCTGAAAGTAAAGCGGCAAAAGTGATTTAGGTGTTTCCGCGAACAGCTCAGGTTGCATGAAAAAAAAGAATAGTGTTTTAGGCGTGCCCTAAACCAGAACACCTAAACCTTAAACCCTAAAGCGTTCAGGGCTCAGGGTAACCTGTACCTTTTTTAAGTTCATGCGGTGGATACCAAAAATCCTGCATGACTCTGTATTGGAGTATCCCGAGGTCATGCAGAATTTTTAGTATCAACAGTCGGGTACTCTGGGTAGGATTCTTATGTAGCATCCAAACTCTCATTTGCAGGAACTAAGGAGTCGCCTTTCAGATTGTTTAAAGCTATTAAGGGATATATATGGGGCTCTATGCAGAGATACGGGAATGTCTAGGTATATATGTGCAGGAAGCTAAGGGCGTGGACATCCCCGGTAGTGCTTCAGGATCTGCTTGCTGGTGCATACTTGGAAGTTCAGGGAAATTGTAGCCCTTAGGTTAATCCCCCCCTACAGAAATAGCCCTTAAATATGCAGGTAGTAGGGGTCTTGATATACTTGCACTAGTCTTTTCTAGTAGCCATTACTAAGTGGGGGGATTGACTCAATGTAGCGCATTTTGCTGACCTTCGCAGTATGGGGGGGCGTTTGCAGCTTTCGAAGTTCATAAAATGCTGTGGTGACTATAACATTCGCAAGTCTCTATAAAATGTGCACAAAAAACCGTTGGTGCTGAAGCCCAATTTGTTGACTTTCTCAGTAGTTGAAGGACTTGCGTATTGCGAAGTGCACAAAATGTTGGCAGGGACAGCACTCTGGTAATGACATCCATGTTCGAGAGCGTACGAATTCCAGAGCAGCCATGCCCAAAGCATGATACCGTCCGTAATACCATCCGTGTTCACACTCGATTCCCAGAGCCTTCATGCCCAAACCCGAGTAAGGCATATGTTGAGAGCATCCAATTCCACGGGGCCATGCCCAAAGTAGCTGTTTGGGTATATTGCTTGCCTTGTGGTTGCTTGCGTAAGCGGAAGATCTGTATCGTTGCATTGCACTGCCGAGATTTGGTTTTGCATTGCCCAATGTGTGCCATGCTTCAAGTTGGTTTCTCATTGTAAAGCGCTTCGGTTGGCACACCTCTTCACATATGAAGTGTTCCAGTGCAGAAATTACACTCACGCTGCACAGCGCATAGCCAAAGACCCTTTCTTGCCGAGTGCAGCTTTACCAGTGGAGATGCAGCACACTCCAGGCTCATGGAAGAGCTTTGGGAGCAGTTGGAAACTTGGCATGTACGTGCTCGCGTAAATCCATGGCCGCGGTCACGCATCAAAGAAGAGAAGTGGACGCCCCATCAACAACAATTGTAGCTTGCTGCAGGCCTGCCTGCCCAGCCGTGAACCTGATTTCAAACGCATGCTTGACCCATTTTACATAGGTTTGCGGTCGAAGTTTGGTGCCTCTGGCCTCAAATGTCCCGCATACCATGCTTTCGACCTCGTTCAAGCATCCCGTCTGGTGGTCATATGAGGGCCTGATCTTGGTCCAGCACGACTGACACGGCAAGTCCTTACAGAGTACTCGTGCAAGTCCGGCTTAACAATGGTTCGAAACATTTAGAGTTCTCAGCCAGTTGATACATTTCAGGGCTTGCGGGTGTGGATTTGGGGGTTTAAGGCTTCTGGTTTGAAATTGCAAGACCCAAGCACGGCCGCCTTCTTGTGCCTCTAGTCGAGTTAAGACATGCTCAAGACCAAGCAGCTGAGGCTTGTTCAGTAATAACAAGAGGTCGAAGCAACTGCCTCTCAGTGCCGTATGGGCGTATGTGGCTTCGGTTGTTGGTAGTTGTGATGGGGGGCTTGCACTAAGAGAAAACTCACATTCTGTGCTTCGTTTTACACAAGGAGCCATAAATCTGGCTTCAGGCTTCGGATTGGCTTTGAAGACAGACGCACAATGCAGAATCAGCGTCGGAATCACCTCTTAACAGATCATATGGCTCAGTTATGGCTGGACTGGCGGAGGGTCACCGTGAAAGGAGCAATTTGGGGGGCATAAGGTTCAGGTTCTCGTCCTGCATGACTTGGCTTCACCCAAATCCTGATGCGCGCAGGCATTGCTGGATGGATCCAGCGTTGACAACAGCAGCAATTGGTGCTGTGCTCAGATAAATCGCAAGCAACTGGTTTTACCTCCCCCAGAAGACATGCTGGTGCCAATCCTGAATACTTATCTCAGGCCGTAATCCTCCTTTGGGAACTGGGCGCTATATCTCGTCAAACATTCCAGAGAATCCTTCCTGGTGCACCCCCACAATACTCCATCAATTCCCACAAAGCGATGGCGACTCTGTCATCCTGCCTTCCCAGCCGCGTAAATGGTAGATTTCGGGATGATATGTTCGAAGTCGTTTCTTGTTCGGGCCTCTCTTCTGGACTGGTGGTTAGTAGGGAATTAACAGACTATATTCCGTATATAATACCCCTATACAATATATTCCCATATTCCCTACTAACCACCAGTAAAGCTTCTGGTCTGTGCAGAAACCCTGAGCCAAGGTGGTATTCCATCGGCTCCCACCAAATCTACGCCGGCGGTATGCCGGGCCCCCCGGGCACCATTGTGGATCTAGTGGAGCTGTGGGTATCCACAATAGAAGTTACCGCAACGACGACGACCACCACCACGTTTCTGGCCTGGCTTTTGGAACGCTTTGCACTTTACACTTTTCCATTGTTGACTTCGTATAGCTGCAGGCATCTTGAAAGGGTCAGTAGCCGGTCAGCAAAGGTTTATTGCGGCCCCACCGCCACAGTCACCAGAGGGTGGTACTTGGCAGCTGGTGTTCCGCCAGACAGTGCCACAGTTCTACGCGCCAGGTGAACTGTCCAAGTGCCCCAGCTAAAACAAGGCACTGTTCATACTGGGCAGGCGACATGAAACAGGGCTGCAACACGTTGATTCCGCATGGAAATGCCAAGGAACGAGAACGCAGACCCGAACAGCGTGAGCGATTTTTCAATTCTGGACCAGCTGGACAGCTTCAATGTTGACGGAGTTTTCTACTTCCTGTCCCTTGGCATAGGAACGCCGCCCAAAGTTGCATGCTCATAGGCTCAGCAGCCCCTCTTCTACATGCTCAGCATGGGGATGGGGGAAATGTGCCTGTCCACCGAGGCTGAGATGGCCGGGAAGCGGAGAAGCAGATCAGATTTGGAGGCAGACCTCCAACCCTGTCACAACTGTCGATGGATCCGTTACCGGCTATGATACCTAGCTTTCATGAATGGCCTGTTGCAAGTTTACGGTTTAGGGGCTAGGGGAAGGCTTTTTTCTCGTGCCTGTGTTGGGAGGCTCAGATCTTGATTTGTGTCTCCGGAATGGTCTGAGAGCTGTCTCAGGCTTCCCGCTGAACAGCTACTTGAGGGTTTTAGGGTAAGGAGAACCCAGTTCTGATTGCATTCATAGGCCCATGATAGGCTGTTATCACCCTGAACCTCCAAGTAGGGTTTCCTGAAAACGTATCTTCACATGGGCCCCTTGTCCAAAACCAATGGCCAACAATGATACCTTTGAGCCTCTCCAATTCCAAGAGCACACTTTGTGATCCTATGATGCTATTTTCTTGTGTTTGGTTCATATTGCCCATATGCCAGGTACGTAAAAAGGGCTATAATTCAGAACCTGGCGAATACAAAGAGACGGATCAATGGCAATCACAGCCCTAGACATCTGCCAGAACCCATGCATATTCCACACAACGATCTCGGTAACACGGAAGCGATTTGCAAAGGAACCCTAAACCCTAAACCCCCTCATCTCCAGAAAACCCTTACATTGATCCCAATAACATGTTCCTTTTGCCCATGCCGAGGAAGCCATTTCTGTAGCACACACCGGTCACCTCTGGGGTGGCCTCCACTACAACGGAGTCTGGCCTTTGCTTGGTACAGTTTAGTTCAGGTTTTGCATTTGTGGTAGCAGTGAGAGGGGTACTTGGTACCGGCAGGAGTAATAGTAGGAGCAGTAAGAAGAGAAGAGCAACCAGGGACCCATGCCAGGACATCGTTCACTTCTGGATGGCTCCAGTGCCGGCAACAGCAGCAGCTGGCGTTGTCCCCAGACAAGGGCCGACGAAGTAGGACGACTCGATTTAGTAGTGGCAGCAGCAGTGGTGGTGGTCGTCGTTGTGGTGTCAAAAGTTTATGACCATTCCCTCGCACCCTTGAAGAGGACTGAGTCTCTTTAGTTGCACCCCAACATCAAAAAATTGAAGCCAATGTAATCCTGAAGCCAAAGCCCACCCCGAAGCTCGAGAGCACAACATCCCTGAAACTATAACTCCCTAAATCTCTAAGCCCTTTCTATTACCTTGAGGGGTCGGAAGCACCAAGGCAATCTTGGCGGCGTTGCTGTTGACGAATTCAAACTAAGTTACTATATTGGGAAAGCCGTATTATTTCCTGCATATACCCATTATGGTAGCTTAAATTAAATTCCTAAACCCTAAACCCTAAGCCCCTCTAAACCCTATGTACCCTACATACCCATCATGGTAACTTAAGTTAAGTTCCTTAACGGCAACCCAGTTGTCTTGGCCCAGATGGTATACAAATGCATTTTAATCCGTACTATTGGGACCCTAAAAAGGTATTCTCAATTTTCCGAACCCCCATGTTGCCCAGGTGGTATTCACTTGGCGCCTTCCAAATTTATGCCGGCGGCATGCCAGGCGACATCGCGTTCAGGGATTCTGGATGTTATCGTCCCCCTTAAGTAGATAGAATAGAGGGTTTAGGGTTGAGGGTGTATAGACGCCCTGAAGTACATGGGGTATAGGGTTTAGGGTTATAGTCCCCCTTAAGTAGATAGAATATGGCTTGGGGTGTTAGTAAAATAAGATCCCCATATACCCCATATTCAATCTACCTACGGGGGGCTATAGGTTCCAGAGCTTTGCGGGTGCATTGAAGAGTTTAACTCTTTAGGGTAAAGGGTTTAGGAGTAGGGGTCTGAGCTTTTTGATATAGGGATTTGAGCTGGGGGCGTGGGTTTGCCGCGGTATTTGCCCAAATAGGTTGGAGCATGAAAATCGGGGAGTCTCCATGGCATGATACTGGTGGCTCAAGGCTTTGGATGCAGTACCCCAATCCAGAACCCCAATATTTCATACTCCTTAGGGTTTAGGGTTTAGTCCTTATTACAGGACCCCCGAAAAAAGGTGCGGCTAATTTTGGGAACTCCCATGTAGCGGTTTGGGATTGGGGTTGTGTACGGATTTTGACTGTAGTTTGGGGTTTCAGGTCGAAGGTTTCAGATGTAGGCTTCAAGCCTATGGGTTAAGGGGTTAAAGCTCAGGGTTTAGGGGTTTCAGGGTTCAGGGTGTTAGGGCTTTAGGGTTTAGTGGGTTAGACTTCAAGAAGTTATGGTGTAAGTTTGAGAGTGTAGGTTCCCCCTCCTTAAATCATGTAATTGTACTAGTCTTTTGCGGTTTATCTGGATCCGGAACATGACAGTAACAGGGAAGGGGTAGCATGCAAGGTTTAGGACTTGAAGTTGCTTTTGGGGCCTGTAGGGTTGTATTTTGGGTTTCTCAAAATATAGGGTTTAGGTTAGGTGGACCCCCTACCCAGTAATAGTGACTCTCAGGGATAATAGGGATTATATTAGGGTCCTCTTATTTTCTTACTATACCACTACTAAAGGGTGGGGGGTCCTCCTAAGGTTTAGGGTTTCTAGGGTTTTGGGGTTGTATTTTGGGTTCCTCAAAGCTGAGCTAAACTTTTGGAAGCATAAACTGAGGGGATGAACCCAGGACATTATGTCCCTGCATTGTCCTTAGGTTTTTTATTTTCATTATAGTATAACCCTAAGGAAAAATTGAAAATACTTTTATTATAAGTCTAAGGAAACTACAGATGTCACAGGTTCCCTTACAAATGGTTGGCAACCCGATCCTATGGAATAGCAACCCGGCATGTTCAGTGATGATTTGAATCATCGCAGCGGCAGCTTTCCTTTGGTGATTCTTAATAATGAACTAGCTGGCTGGTTCTTAGTAGGAATAAGGGAATTCAATCCCTTTGCAATCCCTATATAACATATTCCCTTATTCCGTACTAGCCCCTGGCAAGACTGGTGATTCTGAATGATATCTTGGCCCCTCACATTAGGAATTTCATTCCATGGCGGCATCAAGTTTGGGATCGCAAAGCAGTGGGGTCGGCCCATGCTGACTTGAGCGCCAGAAAGTATATTTTCCCTTAAGTAGATAGAGTATGGCTTTGGCTATATTATAATAAGATCCCCATATACCCCATGTTCTATGTACTTGAGGGGGACTATAAACCCGAAAGCCGACACCTGTCAAAGATACGTCATCGAAGCCTTAAGTCCCTGAACCCCAAAACCTAAAACCCCTGAAGCCTTAAATCCTGAAAGCCCTAAAAGATAAAACGCCTAAAGCCTTAAATCCAGAACCTTATATTCCCTTCCATCCTGAACCCAAGTCCTTCAAACCTAAGACTTCAGTCCTTAGCCCAAACAAGCATTGAGCTTACTCGGCTTCTATGAAGGAATCTTAACTTAAGTTACCGTAATAGGGATACATAAGGTTTAGGGCTCAGCGGGCTCAGGGTTTAAGTCGCCATAATATGGGTATATAGTAAATACTGGGGTTTCCTTGCTATAGTAACTCAAGTTACGTTCCTTAAGAGCAACCCAGTTAAGCTTAAGCGTGTGGCGAGGACCGGGCACCATTGTGAAGCAGGTCGAGCTCTGGGTGTCGAACGTCGAGGAACCTTGGGAAGCTTGGGGGGAGGGTCCTTTAAAGAGGCTGTAGGGACTGTCCTAACATAGACCCCAAAATACTATAATCTTTACTCTAGGGAGCCCCACAAAGGCAACCCTAATTTTTGGGAAGCCCTCAAATTCGGGCACAGGGTTCAGGGTTTAGGTTTTAGGGACAGGGCTCGGGGATTGAATTTGAAGGGCTTGGTAGGGAAAGCCCAAGCTTTATGTCCAAGTGATATCCTATCGACGCTTATCACTGCCATCGCAAGTGACGCTACCATTTCCTGCCTGGGTTGTTGCAGGCTGAGGCAGCCCTAAACCCTAAAAAATCCCCTGTATAACCCAATTTAAGCAGTCTAGACCCTGTTGAGGCATTCGGGCTTAGGGCTTAAGGGAGGAAAGGGATTCTTTGGGGAGTGGGGGTGTGGGGGGACTTAGCACATCTTGAACTAGATGAGAACCTTTATAGGCCCGAATGATAACCCTAGTTAGCTGAATGAGTAGCTCACTAGCTAAGCCCACCTGGGCCATCAAGTAAGGGGGGTAGGTTTTGGGGTGTGAATGTTGAGGGATCAGTGTCCGTGTGTTTGGGTTTTGGGGCTTGAGGGTTTCGCTGTTCTTTGTGTCTGAAGGCTTTCCAGTTAAGAGTTAAGCGGGACATCCCTCAATAAAGGAACCCACCTGCCCCCCAGGCTTGACCCTTAATTAGGCTTATGCCGGCTTGCTTAGTGCTAATTGGGCGGAACGCTGGGAGGGTGTGGTAGTGGCTCGGAGAACCCATAGAGAGTTCAGGTTAGTTGGGCTTATGGGCTTTTGATGGCCCATACAGATCCCAAGCTTGAAGCCTAAAGCCCTGAGCAGTCTTAAACCTGTGTGCAGAAAAGTGAGTAATTACCTACAGAATTTCCTTTTCAATGATTGCAAACGATAGTAAGATCTGCCCTGAAACTTTTTCCAATGAAATCCACTCAACCCCCACGAGTTCATATATACACCCCGCTTCCGCTTGATTTTCTGTGCCCTGGCCATTGGATTTTCCACATCGTAGACCCTAAACCTTAAACCCCAAAATCCTTGCGACCCTACGATGCGATAACTCAATCTTCAGAAGGTCCTTCCTGATGGATCCGATTTGAAACAAGAAAATGAGAGCTCGCGCTGAACTAGGTCCGGCCAAGGTGCTCAGAGTTAGGGCTTACCCAGACCCCCTAAAGGATCCAAAAAATGGAACCCCCTAATAATCCCCTAGTTTCCCAATGTAGTAATGGGTCCACATTTGGGGGGTTCCATTTTTTGGATCCTATATACCCCTATATAGACCCCTATAAACCCCTTTAAGGGGTTCCATTTTTTGGATCCTTTAGGGGTCTGGGTAGGGCTTTCGCGGCTTCAGGGGGCTTTTAGGAGGTTCAAGGCTTAGCACTGTAGGCTTTGGGTGATGGTGTAGGGGTCATGAGAGAGCACTGCTACAAACTA